GATGGTTTCCCAAAGAAGATGAATTTCATTTCCAGTTAGAGGATTCATTTCAAGATCTTCGTGCTACAAAACGCAATATTTTGTCTGTGTCAGCTAGGTTATTTGATCCCCTTGGTCTTCTATGTCCCTTAGTGACAAAAGTTAAAATTCTACTGCAGGAGCTATGGATGGAAAAGTTAGATTGGGATGAGTCGGTACCACTGAAGTTACATACAAGCTGGGAGCAACTTAAAGTTAATTTGTTGCACCTCCATCAGTTAAGGATTCCCAGATATTTAAAAACTTCACTATCTCAACCAATTCAACTGCACGTATTCGCCGATGCCTCAATTAAACCTTATGGTGCTTGTATATATGTTCGTACAAGCACAGCTGATGGAATTAAAGCCATGTTGTTAACGGCAAAATCCAAGGTAGCCCCTTTAAAAACAAGGTCACTTCCCCGTCTGGAACTTTGTGCGGCTCATGTTGCAGCTGATCTGTTAAATAAAATCAGGCCTATAGTATCAAGCCCAATTGAAAAAGTAACGTTCTGGTCGGATTCGGAAATAGTCCTTCATTGGGTGAAGACTCATCCATGGAGTTTATCAGTTTTCGTAGGAAACCGAATAGCTGAGATTCAGGATTGGAGCAAAGGCTCAATTTGGCGTCATGTTCCGACAAAGCAAAATCCGTCGAGGAACTCAAGGATTTTATGTGGTTCAACGGTCCAACATTTTTAACTGAACCAGAAGATAAATGGCCTATTAATAGTCATTTTGAACTATCGCAAGGTATGCAAGAGTTGGAAATCAGAAAATCAGCTCTTGTCTGTGCAGAACCACGCATGCAAAGTGATCTTTTAGAATACATAGAAAAACAGTCGTCATACATTAAGACAGTAAGGGTCATTGGATATGTACTTCGTTTTATAAGAGGATGTCGAAAAGCGGCTCGTGAGGCGAATATACTGCTCACAGCAGCTGAGCTGAAAATGGCATTTGACAAAATTATTCAGGTTGTGCAGGACTTCGAGTATGCAGAAGTCATTGATAAAATTCGCAAGAAGTCATTACTCGCGCCAAATTTGCAGAAGTTGTGCCCGTTTTTGCAAGAAGTCAAGCTAGAAAAGTTGACATTTAGCTTGGTGAGAGTCGGCGGGCGAATGTTGCAAGCCGAGATTCCATTTGACGCGAAATTTCCGTGCTTACTCAGCAAACAGTCGCAGTTCTTAAAGAATTACGTTGAACATTTGCACAGAAGGAATTTCCATGTCGGCGCGCAAGCCTTAGGCAGTCTTCTCAATGAGCGGATATGGGTGGTTAATGCTCGGGAGATATTTAAAAAAGTTGTTCGCCAATGTTTGCACTGCTTTCGATACAAACCGAAGCTGCTTTCACAAATCATGGGGCAGTTGCCTGCTGATAGACTAAGATCAGCTCGTCCCTTTACAGTGTGTGGAGTAGATTTTTGTGGGCCAATCATGACCACTTTGAAGATCCGAGGGAAGCAACCATATAAGTCCTATGTCGCTGTATTTGTGTGTTTTGCGTCCAAAGCTGTTCATCTTGAACTTGTTAGCGACTTGTCAACTGATACCTTTTTATCATGTTTCCAAAGGTTTGTCGGCCGGAGAGGACTTCCGAAGACGGTGCACTGCGACAACGGCACGAATTTCGTGGGCGCGAGCAATCGCATGAAGGAGTTCGGCGAGAGGCTGAAAGCAGAATTGACCGGCGTCCAACGCTACGCTTCCGAAGAAGGAGTCTCCTTTGCATTCATACCGCCCAGGGCTCCTCACTTCGGAGGCCTATGGGAGGGCGCTGTGAAGTCTGCGAAAGGCCTACTCCTACGGACGGCAGGTCGCGCTTTGCTCACCGCGGACGAGTTAGCGACGTTCCTCGTAGGCGTGGAGGCAACCCTCAATTCAAGGCCAATCGGCCCACTCAGCCAGGACCCCAACGATGGACAAGCGCTGACGCCAGCGCACCTGCTGATCGGCGGCCCGCTGAAGGCCCCACCGGAGGAGGAGGCGCCCGAAAAAATAAGTTGCTTGCGTCGATGGCAGCTTGTATGCTCGCTCAAGCAAGAGTTCTGGCGGAAGTGGTCGACGAGTTATCGTCGGAGCCTGCTGGTTCGCTCGAAATGGACCAAGGAGTACCCGGACGTCAGGGTGGGCCAATTGGTGCTCGTGGCCGAGGACAACTGCCCGCCACAGAGGTGGCTGGTGGGTCGGATAACCGCCGTACACGCAGAGGTGGACGGAAAGGTCAGGGTCGTCGACCTGAAAACTACCAACGGCGACATTAAAAGGGCCATCCACAAATTGGCACCCCTGCCCATCGAATGAAGTAGAGGAGGTGCTCAACGCGGGCGGTGTTGGCTGATTTCAGCCCTTTATTTAATTTTAAAATAAGCAAGTCAAATAAGAAGAAGTTAATTGAAAATGAAATGTAATGAAGTAATTAGAAAATAAGTATAAGAGAAAATGAAGTACAAACGCTGAATGTGGATCGCGTTAGCTTTAAGCGGGAAGAAGGAAAAGAAGTAGGAGACGAAATAAATGAAGCCAGTCTCGTTTAGATTCTGATCGTTTCGCACGCACCCGCTCAAAGTCGTTGTCTATCCGCCGAATACTGTATAAATATATATATAATAAACTTGTTAATAATCCCGTGTTGAATTCGTGTCATTTGTTATTAAATTTAGCAGTGTTAAATATTCGTCTCACAAAAACTATTGTGAATCTACAGATGCCAAACGGCTCATTCAGCATTAAAATTTCCGTTAAATCTTCAAATTATTGAAGAACCAACGTGTAATATTGCAAAACACTCAGCAATGGCCAAAGTTTTAATGGTATCGAAACAAAATTTTTCCTTTTCATATATAAAACAAAAAAAAAATTTCTTTATCTTTTAAACACCAAACGAAGTTTTACCTAAAACTATTGCCATCTAGTGGCGGAACGGAGCTCGCTGGGTTTGCTAGTATATACATAAGATCGCCATATTGCGACTTTGTATAATTTCCAATTGCAAATTTTTTCCAATTGCATTCCTAAATACAGTCCACATCTTTAAGAACATCAAAAACATTAATAAAACATTTACAAAGAATAAAAATCCAATAAAATTAAAACTGCGAAAATTTAAATTTAATAATATAGTACTACATACACATATATAATATAAATTCCATTAATATTTTAACGAAAGTTGGTTTCAAATGACTTGACCAAGTGACCAGTACCAAAGCTGATGTCTGGCAACCCTAGGACAGGCCAACGATCGGTCACTCTAGGACCTGTAAAAAGCCTGTCAAAAAGTTTAGGAAAGTTGCGATCACACTGATCGATCTTCTCCCTCTCTCTCTTCTTCCGGTTGTCTGCCAGGCTGCATGCTTGTGTAATTAAGCGGGTAATAAAAACCTAATATAAATCTTAAGAACCCTTGCTTGGTTGTTTCAATGGCGTTGGCATAACGTGGGCTGACCCCCACCTATTAAACAGTATCCGCTCGGCTGACAGTGGCGAACTTGGAAACCTCGACAGGGCAAATAAGTTTCGTTACATTGGTGTCAGGTGTGGGGTCACGTGGGCTTGCGAAAACCCAGACCCAAAGAAAATGCCTAAAAAGTCCGTTCGCCAACGCCAGCCCTCACCCGATGGGAATATGGGAGAGGGTGCACAGCAGCAACAGATTCAGTCTTTCATGCAAAAGCTCGAAGAAAAAGTAAGCATAATTGACAAGTCTCTAGAACGAAAGTTCGAGCAAAAGTTTGAGCAAATGTGGGCGACCTTTGAGAGGACCATGCTTGGTGGCTTGCAAGGTGTAGCAAAAGGACCGGACAACACCGCAGATACCTTTTCAGCGGCCATGCCGGCGGGGGAGCCAATGCTCTCTGCCAGCACGCCACGCCTGTTTGCACCACCAACGGACGACCCAGCACGTCGCAATTGCCAAGTGGAGCCGCCGGTAGCACCTATGGCCCGCTCTTATGATCCGCAGCCTTCGAAAGCGAACAGTGCCGGCCTTGCAGCCGATGGAGTTTCGACCAGAGCACCGCAAGTAGTCATTCCTTCTCGATACTGGGACTTTTTAGAGTTGCCAGACAAGGAGATACCCCCAATATTCGACGGCACCAGACCATGGTCCGAGTTTCAACGCCTGCTAGACGACATGGCAGAGGAGTATCACTGGTCTGAAAGAAAGAAGTGCCGAAAGCTGTACACCAGTCTGCGCGGGCGCTTTCACGCTACACTCCCAGAGTCTACTCTTCGGTCCTACGAGTCTATCAAAACGGCTATGCGCGAGCATTTCACTGTAGGGACGCATACGGGCTATCACATTTTTCATAACCGTATGCAGGCCCCAAAAGAAACACTCGATGACTTCGCAATGGAACTCGAACGCCTTGGGAGAGCAGTTTTTGGAGAGCTGCCTGAACCGACCTACAACAACATAATGGTTCAACGTTTTATCGATGGCATCCGAGAGACGGCATACCAGGTGCCGATCATAAGCAGTAACCCGCGGTCACAATTGGACGCCCTCGATATGGCCGTTCGCATAGAGGCACAATCCCGTCGTCGCCCAGACGGTACCGTAATGAATATCTCCGCCATAACTGCTGAAACTCAACTGTCAACGCCAAGGAAAGGTGGCCGAGGCGCTCGCCGTAATACGCGTGCCAGTCCAGAGTCATCTCCCCATCCTGCTACTCTAGCGGGAAACTAAATGCCGCCAGCCTCTCGGGGCGGAGGTTGGCAACCAATGCCGACAGCCCCACCAAACCTTTTCCTGCTCTGGCGCATACCAATGTCGAAGACGAGTTTCACCCTTGGACGCCAAAGGAACGTAGCCCACCTGTAGCCTCAATTTGAACGAGTGAACACGAGTCCATGGCCCGTGGCCTCTTGCCACACCTCACCGCGAGACCGCCGCTTTCCGAGCAGCTTATGGCCCGACAGAGACTTCCTCCTACGAGAGTCGAAGCCGTCCTGCCCCCCAGCGCCCGTAATGCCGCCGCCCGGAAAGAGTGCCAATGGCTCACGGCCTACCTTGGCCTACGCTACTTCGCCGCCACCCAAAGCATTGGCAACTGGAGACTACGCACGAGAAGGTCCCCCGGTAAAGCTAACAACCACCGAACAGTTCACTGTCGCACCACCCGCTCCTTCAGAGGAAGTCAACGCCGCCCGTACCCTGCTGTTTGAGGAGCCGCCGCTCAGCGAATACGCTTCGACGCCGCCGCTTAAGTGTGTTGAAACGAAGCTGCTGCCGGAAGATCGAGCTGTCGCATCTGCGACCCATGCACTCGCCCGGCCCACAAAATCTCAACAAACCGCCGAACGTTTCACAGCCCTAGAAGAACCTGAGTCCGTTTTGGCCCGTTTGTTTGCTGACCCGACATCCGAGGAAGTTGACCCTGCGCCACCGGCCTATATCCAACAGGAGCTCAACGCCTTGACCACTAAAGCTACGTATACCTGCAGTTCACGTAGTGGTCAGCACTTACACTGTTTTATCTTCTTACAGAAGACCGCGGTACGACTGATCGTAGCCACTGGCGCCTCCGTCTCCCTCCTCAACCGTGGAGACTTTCAGAAACGGTTAACCAGCACTCCGTGCCACGTTGTTCTACAAGGTCCGTCTGCAGAACAGTTCATCGCCACAGCCCGGGTGTTAGCCAGTCTGGTTATAGTTGGCCGACCCCTACAACATGAATTCCTCTTGGTGGAGGGCAACACCCCGAGCCTTATGGGCATCGATTTTATGTTGCGTCAACAGGCATCCGTGGATCTAAAAGCGCTACACCTCAAATTTCCGTGGGGTGCGATCCCTCTACACCCCCCAAGTGAGACGCTGCCAAGCCTACTGTACTCCACAGTCGCCACCAGAATTCCGCCTTACAGCAACACCTTTCTGAAAGTCAGCTGCCTATCACGGGATATATGTCCCGTGGCAGTCTTGGAGGGTGTGCCTTCTCCCAGTTGCCTACTGAGGTAATCTTGGGCAGTACGGTGGTGAACAATACGGAGAACTCTACCATTCTGCACCTACTGAACTCGAGTTCCAGGGAATGCCGATTACCAAATTTCACCATTTTGGGCCAAGTGGAACCAGCCGAAGTACTGCCGGTCGCTCCAAAGTCGCTGAAGCCCGACAGTACGAATTGGACGTCGCTGGCACTACCGCCAGAATTACCGACAAACCTTCACGTGGACTGGCAGAGACTACTCCAACGCTACGAGTTAGTGTTTGCCCAACGGGACGATGATATGGGGCGAACCAACCTTGCCCATCACACCATCGACACTGGCCAGGCCCGGCCTATTAAGCAACCACCACGTCGGGTACCACTTTCCCGGAAATCGGAGGTGGAATAGTTAATCGGTGATATGCAGTCAAGAGACGTGATCCGTTCCTCCACCAGCCCATGGGCATCGCCCGTAGTCCTAGTTCAAAAAAAAAGGATGGATACACCATATTCTGCGTGGATTATCGCCGTCTGAACGACGTCACGGTGAAAGATTCGTACCCGTAGAAATGGACCAGGAATCACGCCCCAAAACTGGATTCACTTGTGACGTGGGGTTGTTCGAATTCAATGGTATACCCTTCGGTCTGACAAACGCGCCCGCAACCTTCGAGCGCTTGATGGATGGCCTATTTTCCGGTCTCTCTTAGAAGTCGACACTGGTGTACTTACACGACATAATCGTGCACTCCCGCACAGCCGAGGAGCACCTTGTTCATTTGGACCAAGTATTCGACCGATTGGCAACCGCCGGCCTCAAGTTGAGTCCACGTAAATGTGCTTTCTTCCGCCCCGAAGTGAACTACCTCGGTCACATTGTGAGCCACAACGGATTAAAGGCATGTCCCGAGAAAATTCAAAAAGTAGTCGATTGGCCATCGCCCCGCAACCAGAAAGAGGTACGTTCATTCGTGGGATTGTGCTCGTACTACCGCAAGTTCATCCCAGATTTTGCGACAATAGCCCGGCCGCTGCATCAGTTAACTAAGGCCCGCCGCCCCTTCACGTGGTCCACCGAGGCTCAGGATGCATTTGGCCTGCTTAAGGTAAAGCTGACAACGTCACCAGTACTCACTTTCCCAGATCCCGATGGCCTGTTCATTCTCGACACTGACGCATCCAATCACGGCGCTGGAGCTGTACTCAGCCAATGTCAGGAAGGTCAGGAACGTGTTTTGGAATACTATAGCAAAACATTTAACGCAGCAGAGCGCAACTATTGCGTCACCAGACGAGAATTGTTAGCCGCCGTTCTCTCCACCAAACATTTCCATCATTATCTGTACGGATGAAAGTTTGTCTTGCGTCGGACCATGCATCGCTCCGCTGGCTGTTCAACTTTAAGGAACCGGAAGGCCAACTAGCTCGATGGATCGAGCGTCTACAGCAGTACCATATGGACATTCAACACCAAAGTGGTAAACATCATGGAAACGCTGACGCTCTTTCACGCCGACCCTGCGGTGAATGCAGGGTGTGCGAAAAAGCTGAGCAGTCCGACAGACCAGGAGTCCTCTTCATGCAAATCGAAGCTGTCGATTATCCCCAACTTCAACGACAGTACCCAACTTTAGCCGTGGTTCTATCATGGTTGGAAAATGGAAAACTACCCCTCAAATCCCAGATTTGGGGCGAAAGTCCCGAAATCAAAGCTTACTGGCATTCATTCGAAAACCTTCACTTGGAAGACGGCGTTATAAAAACCCGGATCAAGACTGGTGAGCAAGTGGCCCTAGTACATCAAGTGCAACGCGAGGAAGGGACCATCTAGACGAAGGGTGGGCCAGCTAAAACCAAGCTCCATTGGCGCCCCTTTCGAACAACTAGCCATCGACATTCTGGGGCCTTTGCCTACCACCTCGCTTGGCAACAGGTACATTGCCGTAGTGATGTGTTACTTCACTTAATGGCCTGAATGCATCGCCCTTCCTGATCAGACGGCTGAAACCGTAGTCAAGGCCCTTGTACAAGAAGTTTTCTGCCGTTTTGGAGTGCCATTTGTACTACACTCGGATCAGGGCCGCAATTTTGAGTCCGCGGTATTTCAATCCTGCATGCGCCTTCTTGTTGTGGAAAAGACCCGAACCACCCCGCTTCACCCTCAATCCGATGGCATGGTCGAAAGGTTCAACCGAACCTTGCTGGACTATCTAGCTAAATTCGTTGCAGCCGATCAGCGGGATTGGGACCAACTCCTACCGTTAGCCCTGTGGGCTTTTCGCTCAGCTCCGCATGAAGCCACTAGATTCTCACCCGGACTATTAATGTTGGGGCGTGAGCTACGCCTACCGGCTGAACTGATATACGGGCACCCATCCCCTAGTCCCCAAAGCTACCCCGAATACGTGGAGCGGCTTCAGGAGAACCTTCGGAAGACACACCACGCCGCCCGAACACAGCTTCTAGCCGCGGCCAAGGTAAACAAAACCCGCTACGATCTCCGATCACACCCGGTCGAATTTGAAGCTGGTGAGGATGTTTGGCTTTACGCCCCCCATTCGAAAAGTCGGGCGGTGCCCGAAACTACAGTCCGACTGGATTGGCCCCGCTACGGTGATACGACGACATTCCGATCTGGTTTATGAGGTCCGTTTACCCGGCGAGCGTTCTACCAAGACCGTCCACGTCAACCGCCTGGTCAAGTATCATCGATCGAACACTCGGCCAGGAGACTCGAGTCTAAGAGGGGGGTAATGTAACGAAAGTTGGTTTCAAATGACTTGACCAAGTGACCAGTACCAAAGCTGACGTCTGGCAACCCTAGGACAGGCCAACGATCGGTCACTCTAGGACCTGTAAAAAGCCTGTCAAAAAGTTTAGGAAAGTTGCAATCACACTGATCGATCTTCTCCCTCTCTCTCTCTTCTTCCGGTTGTCTGCCAGGCTGCATGCTTGTGTAATTAAGCGGGTAATAAAAACCTAATATAAATCTTAAGAACCCTTGCTTGGTTGTTTCAATGGCGTTGGCATAACGTGGGCTGACCCCCTCCTATTAAACAGTATCCGCTCGGCTGACAGTGGCGAACTTGGAAACCTCGACAGGGCAAATAAGTTTCGTTACAATATATATATGTCGGATCATAAATTATGGTAGTCAGTGTATGGGGAACCAAATCAAGTGTAACGATTCTTCTCGTTGCACTCTAACGATTGTTTGTTAGTGCGCGTTATTCAACCTATTCGCCAGGTGTTCAGAATAGTTCGATGCGAACATCTTGCGTAAGGTAAGAGTTTTAAAAAAGGGTTACGCACTAGGCGATTGTCGTGCGTGTATGCTTGAGCCACTGCGAGAGACAGAGATGCCAGTATGTGCACTAGAACATGAGTGATGGTGCAGTTTTTGGAAATTCTGGAACAGTCCAAAACAGGCAGTCGTGCGCTCAAGTTTATTCGCCATCTACAACCGCTTATTGATTATAATAAAAAATGGACAAGGAGAATCTTAACCCGACATCAGAAGTGGGATCAGTGCCAACTCCTGCATTTTCTGAAGACCAGTGGCGTGCTATTGTGGAACTACAGAATCGCAATTTCGTCGAAATGTGTAAAGTCATGCAAGCGTCTGGGCGTCCACAAAATCCCGTGGTTTTGCCAAAATTTAATCCAGATTTGACTGGGACTGATGCGACTCAATGGTGTGCAACTGCAAGCATCATTATGGACGAACAGAAGATTGATGGCAGCGCACTTATCATGATGTTGAGTAGTTGTATGCAGGGTAGTGCTTCGGCGTGGCTTGCAATCTGCTATCCAGTCATCAATTGGGAGCAGTTTAAAGAACTATTTATACAGCGTTTTGAAATTAAAGAAACGCCGGCAGCTATGTTCTTGAATCTGCTCATTAGTCGTCCAGCCCACAACGAGTGCCTTGCGGTGTACGCAAGCCGTATGGTGACGTCATTGACCACAAAATGGCGAAATATGAGCACCGAAGAAATTGCTGTGTCATCGGTACTTGCGCATATGGCCAATTTTGACAACCGTTTGCAGCGCATGGTGTTTTCGTCAAATGTACAAACAAGAAGTCAACTACAAATGGAACTGAAAGCATTTACATTTGATAAAAAGCGGAATGCTGGATGTCCTGCTGGTAATAGCGGTGACTGCAAACGAGCTAAAATTGTGTGTCACTTATGCAAGGAAACAGGACATAAAATGGCGGAGTTTAAATGCAAACGGTCTGGATCGGAAAACAAACAGCATCGTGACTTGCAGAATGTAACCTGTTACCGGTGTGGACAACTTGGGCATCTTGCGAATCGGTGCACAAACAATGCAACTAAATCTGGAGCAGTTACTGAGAAGAAATGAAATTAATGTTTTGTTCCTGAGCCAAAAGGACTTTTGTCATACCAAGGTGAGATCTTTCCGATTTGCTTTGACTCTGGCACGGAATGTTCGTTAATTTGAAGAAGCGTTGCCGATAAACAAGCTTTTTAATAATGTTGTTGTAATACGAGGTATTGGTGGTCGTCATATAATAAAGTATTTTAGTAAAACTACTTCCCTTCAGAGTCTAGATACCATTCATATCGATAGGAAACCTTGGCAGGAGTACAATCAGTTAAACAGTTCCGCCCTTATTTGGTTGGTCGTGAGTTTGTGGTTTATACTGATTGTGATTCTCTTAAATCATCTATTTCTTTGTTGAGCATACCGCACCCTATAATAGCTGATCAGGGTAGATGTTTTACTAGTGAGAAATTTTCAGAATTTCGTACATCACAAAAGGTTAAACTTCATCTTATAGCGACAGGAAGAAGCCGTGCGAACGGGCAAGTTGAACGTGTGACGAGCACACTTAAAAATTTATTGTCAGCAGTTGAGTCAAGTCATCGATCTTGGCAAGATGCTCTAGGTGAGGTACAACTTCCTTTGAATTGCACAGTTAGTAGTACAACCAACGCAACTCCGCTAGAGTTGCTTGTCAGCAAAGAGACTTGATTTCACCGTATGATACAGAAATGGAAATAGATAAAGTAAATGCTAGAGATGGGGCAATTGTATTGGGATTGCCTGTTGGTGTTGCTGTGCGCCAGTAAACTGCCGAAGTTGACCCTTTCAGTCAACAGTCTCTGTCATCCAAGTCCGATATTTCGACATGGGAAGAAATGAACACATTTCTCAGTGAAAGATATCGGGCTCTAGAAGCCATCGAGGACATGAAACCGAGTATTAGCGGTATAGCCTCGAAAAATTCAGTAGCTCCCAAAAACTCAATTCCTTCAAAGCGAAAGTGAGCACAAAACCGACGACTTGTGATTTGTGTTCAAAAGAGAATCACCAAGTCCGGATGTGCTCACGCTTCTTACAGATGTCCGTGGATGTGCGCAGCAGCTATATTAAAAGAAGCAGCTGTGCCTGAATTGTTTCGCGCGCGGCCATAAACTTCGCGACTGCACGAGCACACATAGCTGTGTTACGTGTTACGGGCGACTCTTATGCGCCTCCACTACGCGCACACCGAGTTTCAGCTTCGGTGTCCCAAAATTCGTTGACGGGGAAATATCGAAAGTTGCTCAGCGGGTGAATTTCACCCAGTGGGTGCGTTGTGTTCCAAATTCCACGTAAGTACAGACATCGTGTTATTTTGAAATTTTAATTGTAGACTCCCTTTTTCGCGTTTTTACATGTGACATATCATTGTTTTTATAGAAAAGGCGCCAATATGCTGACGCGGGCCCTTGTGAAGCCATTTCTGGGTAGGAGATTGTTGTTACCATCGTTGCAAATGCAATTGCGGTTGCAAATTGAACAAATTCTTTTGTTTTTTTTTGAAAAAATTGATTTTTTTTTTTTTTTTATAAAAGGAAAGTTACATATGTATAGAATATACGTGCCAAGGGATATTTCGATCCGACGCGTATTTCTTGAGCTAGAGCGTGTCAAACATACCCATGTCACGCGCGCTGTGGTACGCTCTAAAAACTTTAAACGCGTTTTTTTAGGAACCATGTTTTCAAACCTCTTGTCGCGCACAGGGGTCGTTCTATTGATCCGATTTCCTTCATTCAAAAAATGTTTGAAAGTATATACTTTTTTGTATGCCTTATACCTAAAAATGGCATAAAAAATTGTTTATTTATAATTTTTAAACGAGATCAAAGTAAAAAAAATAGTCAATTTTTTTTAAACGTCCATGAAATTGGTTTATTTTTACCAAAATTGATTGTTTTTAGTTATAAAGCATAGGAAATTCCATCAATTTTAATAAATAATTTACATTTATAATTTCGGTTCACTACCAGCGGCCCTACACTCGACAAAAAAGAAAAATAGAGGTCTACGAGAT